TAGAGGTGAATCCTCAGAAGGACAAGAGGTAAAGAAAAAAAATTCCTCAATGGCAGCCAGGCACTGGAGCCGGCAGCCAAGAGAAGTTGTGTAACTCTGTTCTTGATGCCTTTCAAAACCTACCGAAAATAAACCTGTTCTGAATTCAATCTTGCCCCTACTTTGAGCAGCAGGTTGGAGTAGAGGACCTACGTGACCTCCTGAGGATATTCATACAGTCAGTTAAGAAGGTCATTTAAGCAATACCTTATCAGCAGCTGTCTAAAGGAAATGCATTATTTCCTCTCTGAAAAGCTGGATTACACCCAGCATTAAATTGGCTCTGCAAAGGCTATGCCTGCTCTCTTCATGCGCTTTGTTTGACTATCAGGTAGAAAAAAGATTACATTTTTTAAAGGTATGATATAGAGACCATGAAACCTCAGTTCTTCAAGATGTGATCATAAAAAGTTACTTCAACTCCTCTTTCCATACTTATATATCATCTCTCAAATATCCACTCTTAAATTGACTGATCATAGATATTTGCCTTAACTTTGTTCAAGGATTTTTATTTTATTTTTTTAAGATGTCCTCCTTAAATTCTTTCAGCCTGCTGGCCTGCTTTGATGACTAAAGTATTACACTTCAGGCCTTTTCAAGACAATTAAGAACCAGATGTTGTTCCTCGTGTTTCAGCACGTTCCATGTACTTAAAGTGGCCTTTCAAACAGAATTTAAAAATCTAGAAGCCATTTTCAACACCACCACGATTCCTACTATACTTACTTATACATTAATTTTAGCCCCGCTCTGAGCCACAGTACTGAATATGTTTTTCCTTCCACCATACATGCCTGCAGGAAGAAGCAAAATTGATAAAAAGAAAAATAACAACAGTACTATTGTACACTGACTAATATTTGTCCTTGCTGTGACAGAAGAAGAGGCTACTGATGCCCTCAAGAAATTCAGAAAAATGAGTATTTGATGTTGTGGAGAAGCAATGTAGAAAGGTATGCTTAGGAGATGAAGAAAAAGCAGTGGCAAAAAAGATTCCTTTTTCCACTCACACTTTGAAATAATTCCGTAAGACCACAAAATATTATTCCCTAGTTCACAAATATTCTTGTATTCCCTCGTGGTACAGGAGTCACAAGTAGACAAGTTGTATCTGTTATTACTGTCTGAAGAAATGGCTGCAAACATACAGATCCAGAGGAGAGCAAATACATTACTGATGTTATACATAGTTCCAAATCAAAATCTCTGTGGGAATCTGTTAAATATATACATCATCTAAGGTGTGAACTTCAATTTACCCTGTGCCAAGAACACTGATACTTAAAGAATCCAGCTTTTTGGTACAAAAGGCTGTAGTTACACTACCCGCTGAGGTGAACAAGTTCTGCTGGGATGGCAGAAGGCCGTATCCTACTGTTAGGCCATATTGCCATAACTAGGCTGCTTCACTATATGGAGCTAAGGTATATTCATATAATACGGCAAGCTTACAAAGCACACTTGCTCTTATAACCTTCCTTAGTATAGTTTTTAAAAGATTGTAATTCTTTATTTCATTTCTACTTAATGTGGCAACAGATCAGAAAACTCAAGCAGAAATAGTGAACCAATTGCAATTGCTAGAAATACCTAAAATGTCAAACAATACTTTGTACCAGCATAGGGATGCGGGAGTGTTGCTGCCTTAACTTATGGGATCCTTTATGTTCACAGAAGTGAGATTTAGATCAGTGTCTGAAAAGAAGTTCTGAGGAAAAAACAGAAAACAAATTTATTTCAACTGTATCAAATTGCTTAAAAGCCTATTTCCACTATTGCTTGTCACCTATTAGGTACAGTTAGAGATGCTACAAAAATCTGTTGTAACCACTATAAACAAGCCTGATGCCAACCTAAATCCCAACCTCTCTTTTTCACTGAAGATTTCCTTGAATAATTTCCTCTGGATGATTTCAGCAAAGTAAGAGGGAAAGCCTTGTCCCTCTACAAATAACAAGCTGTAAGGAAAAGAGATCAGCCTAGGTTTTATGAAGAAACCACGCCAGAGGCTCCAGGCTCCCACATCCATTTCATACATCCTATGGCTCTTGCTCAAGTCTCTAAGGAACAGTGCTCTGGTGGCACTTTGCCATAAGATATATAAATAATAAAAAGTTACTTCAATTATTAGTCGCTGCTATTTACTCTGTCTCTTCTCTCCTCAAAGGAGACCATTCCACATTAAGGCATCTTAATAGACAGTAACATTCGTAATTGCACAACTCATTCAAATGAGCAGCCGCGCTTATGGGATAAGCAGTCGGAACAGTACTTATAGAGGAAGCAGACATTGGCACCTTGCTCTGCTCTCAGAGTGATTTATTCACATAAGCACAGTAAATATTAGATCCCTGGGGATACTGTGATGTTTTTCACTCAAACAGCAATTACCTGAACTCACATGTCCGAAATCATTTGCAAGGACATCCTAATTTGAGGTTTGAGCCAAAAATACAGTATATTTTTTTAAGTTATTATGACAGGAAAGTTTGCATAGAGGATTTTAATGCAAATAACAATGATAAACCAATATTTAGTTATTAGTCTTACATACATTTAAATCTTAGCGGCAAGCAGCAGGCTTTGTCCATTCTCAGGTACTAATTCTACAAATTAAAAAATTCCAAACCCTCCAGATATGGGATAACCATGGGACATTCTCTTGAACAGCTCCTACAGTTTTCAAGCATTACTGTTCATTGTAGGAAAGTGTAATGCCATTTTCACGAAAAGGGAGCTTATGGCTTTGCAGATACCTCAGACTGTATTATTTCTTCCTTAATAGAAGTTGAGGAAAAGATAAGCAAGGACCTCCTAGGTGTTCTGCTTCACACTGATAGCAGGTACCACTAGGATCACAAGGGGTGATCATAAGGATCACAAGAGGGACGAAGGAGAAGAACAAACTAGATTATTTATTTGTTTAGTAAAAGAGGGTTTGTTTGGATATTTTAACTATATTAACTATATTAACTATATTTAACTATATGTAAAAGAGGGTTTGTTTGGATATTTTAACTTCAGTGTGTGTAACAGAAATGCCAGATGGGAGAAACTTCATTTTGGCATGCATATTAAAGGAGAGCAGTGACTTAAAGGTGGTAAACATAGATACGACCAGAACTATGATGCCTCCAGGACTTTCATTCACACATTAGCAGCAGTAACTTTATCAGAGGAAGCATTTGCTAACCAGTAACTGCTTTCACTATGAAACCCAGACCATGGAATACACATATAACAGCTGAATAGATAATCTCAGATCCTTCAAATTAGCAAGGCTTTGTGCATCGCTGCTCATGCTAAAGTATATGTTTTAGAGAAGTCTATAGAACAGATTCAATAACACCCTCAGAGATCCTTCAGGCTGCTCAGAGGAAGTAGGATTTTCACTGTATAATCTAGCAAAGGAGACAAGACAGTGTTCCACCCAGTCCTAGAAAGCTGCCGGAAGATGTTGACCTTTCAAAAAAAACACAGAGATGACATAACCTAAAAAGTCCAGCTTTGAGGATTTACTAGAATTCAGTGATCAGAGATGCCACATCCAAAGCAGATGCATTAAACCAGAGCTTCACACCAGCAAACACTGGCTAGATCCACCTTACTGGCCTAGTAGTGGGCAGCCCTGTGTCCCAGCTAGGCAGGCTCTGTGGAAATGTGTGTCTGAACACTGTCAGAAGATGATCCTGAGACAGTGATCAGAAGCCTGAGAAGCCACATTTAAATATAAATAACAAAGCGAATGCTTTTATTTTTGTGTCTAATAAATACACCATCTTTTAAATATGTAATCTTTTACCTGACATGCATAACCATGAGAAGATGATCTAAATTTCTATTCTTTTCCTAAATTGTGCTAGAAGAACTGTTGTTCACAGCTACTGAACTGTGCTAATCTCATTTCAGATGCTAGCTCCATTTGTTAACTATAACAATCTCCATTCTTTTTAAACAGCTCCAGATAAACTACAAAAGTTTAAGATTTATTGTTTTGACTTTGCAAAGCAAAGCACAGTAGAAACTGAATCACTATTTTAAGAGACAATGTGCTTTCCCAGTATCTTTCCACCACATACCGGCTAACAATTATGGTTAACTCAATGGTTATACCATTCCATGACTGTCTGTCTACACGCTCCTCAGAGTATGAATTGAAGAAAACACAAATTTTTAATGTCAGAAGAACTCAGACCACTCCATCTTGCAGGTAAAATTGTCATTTCTGAAGCTTAGCAGACTCACCACCTCCTCAACCACTGACACTCAGCAGAAGCTCTAGCTGGGGGTGAAGGACAAGGCTCTGCTGGAGCACAAAGGACTTGTGGTAACGTACCATTATTCCCTCCTCCTTTTC